TGTACCTTCTCCGACGGCTCTGCCGCAGTGGCTAAGACTGCTGCTTCAGCGCAGTTCCGTTCGGGGAAGGGCCGCCGCCCCAAGGTTGGGCGCGGCGGAGGCGGGGGTGCGGGAGGGGGTAGTGGTGGGGTCGGGTCGTCTGGTGCTGGAGCGGACGAGGGGACCCTGCCCAGTCCAGCTGAGCCGCCGCCCCTGCAGTTGCAGCAGCCGCAGCAGCCGCCGCAGTCGCAGCCTTCGCAGACACGGCAGACGAGTGTCCTCCCACCCGGGTGGCCCGGCGCTGGCGGTGGCCGGGCGCGTGGTGGTGTGCCGAGTGGTGGCTCTGGCGGCGGGCGTTGTCAGTACCAGATCCAGACCGGTCCTCGCCGCGGCTTCGTTTGCGGCAAGATCGGTCACTCCACTCCCCGCTGTTTTCGTCGCCTGGACGACCTCTTCCGTCAGCGCTTCGGCCCGTCGCCAGACCTCCCGGACTGGCACAGTTTGCTTAGTCGTAAGATTCAGATCTTTGATATGGACATGGATGCCATTGTTGCTGCCCTGCATGTGATGTATGCTGATGACTCTAGTGTGCTTCCAGCTTATTACTCACTGTTGCCTAGCGTAGGTGTGTCTAGCGTAGCCTCCCCTGCTGCGTCAGGCGTAGGATCCCCTGCTTTGTGTAGTCTTGGTGCTTCCACCGTCGTTTCGACGTCAGACGCCTCAGCTTCGCTTTCCTTCACCTTGGACTCTGGCGCTTCTCGGTGTTTCTTCCGCGACTCCACCACCCTGACGCCGCTTCCTGTTCCTGCTGCCGTTTCTCTTGCTGACCCCTCGGGTGGTCCGGTAGTCGCCCGCAGTTCCACCACCCTTCCCTGTCCGGCGGTTCCTTCGGGCTCTCTCACAGGTCTGCATATCCCCTCGTTCTCCAGGAACCTAGTTGGTGTCGGGTGCCTCCAGGACCTTGGCGTCACCACTACGTTCCCTGGCCACGAGCGGTATGCTGTCTGTACCGAGGCCGCCACTGGTGCCCCCCTGTCCACGTTCCCCCGGGACCCGATGTCCGGCCTGTTCACTCTGGACACCGTGACCCCCCCGGCTGGGGCCCCCCCTCAGGTGGCTGCGTCTATCCAGGTTGCTGCTGCCTGCTCCTGTCGGTCCCTCACTCACCCGACTCTCCTTTGGCACCACCGCCTAGGTCACCCTGCGCTCTCGCGTCTGCGTCACATGTCCCAGCACGGTCTTGTCCTTGGTCTCCCAGGTTCTCTCCCCGCGTTTCCCTCCTCCCCCGCCCCCCCTTGCACGCCCTGTGTCGAGGGTCGGCTTCGCCGTGCCCCTCACTCCTCCTCGTTTCCCCCTACCGCCGCGCCGCTACAGACCCTGCACCTGGACGTCTGGGGCCCCGCCCCCGTCCCTGGGCCGCGTCGAGAGCGCTACTTCCTTGTGCTCGTCGATGACTTCACTCGTTACACCACAGTCTTTCCCCTGGAGCGCAAGGCCGACATGCCTGGCGCTCTCATCCCCTGGCTTGTCTCTGCGCGTGTCCACCGCGGTCTCCCTGTCTTGCGTCTTCACTCCGACCGTGGTGGCGAGTTTGCCTCAGGTGTCCTTGGTCGCTTTTGTCGTGCGGAGGGCATCACCCAGACGTTCACCCTACCGGACTCCCCACAGCAGAATGGGGTCGCTGAGCGACGCATCGGTTTGGTCATGGAGGTCGCTCGCACCTCCATGATCCATGCCGGTGCACCCCATTTTCTGTGGCCGTTCGCTGTGCGCTACGCTTCTCACCAGCTTAACTTGTGGCCGCACCCTCAGCAGCCGCAGGTTTCGCCGACCCGTCTTTGGACTGGGTCTCCTGGTGACGCGTCTGCGTTCCACGTCTGGGGCTGCCTTGCTCACGTTCGTGCCTCCGGCACGGACAAGCTCACTGCCCGCACCCTTCCCTGCGTCTTCCTCGGTTTTCCCCTTGACGCGTCCGACTGGCACTTTTACCACCCGCCGTCTCACCGCTTCTTTCACTCTCGCGACGTCACCTTTGACGAGTCCGTTTCCTATTACCGTCGCTTCTGGTAGTCCCTGCCCCTCCTCCTCCTCCTCCCCGTCCCGCCCCCTCTGGTGTGTCCCACGTCACCCCCCTTCCGTCGGCGGACCCGGTTGAGGAGTCCTCTGACTCTGGTGGCCCTCCTGTGCAGTCCTCGCCGGCTGCCCCTCCCCCGGTGTCCCCTCCCCAGTCCCCTCCTCCACCGCCTCTGCCGTCGCTGCAGCCGTCGTTGTCGCTGCCGCCGCCGCCGCCGCCGCCGCCGCCGCCGCCGTCGCGGCCACGGTTCACTGACTCTGGGGGTGCTCGTCCCGGTCGCCCTGGGGGTGGCCCCTCTGGGGGTGCTGGTGTGGAGAGTGCCGGTGGTAGCCGAGGAGCAGCTTGCGGTCCCGGTGTCGCCGTTGCGCCGCCGCAGTAGCAGTCCCCGCCGGTGTCAGCCCTTCGCCTGCTCGGCCTTCCGTCACCCGACCCTGCGTCCGTTCCTCCCCGGCCGTCTCCTCTTCCTGTCTACGGCCCTGTTTTCCCTCCGCCGGACTCGGCCCCGGCCTGTCTCCCCCCTCGTTCCCCTCCTGTGTCCCCTCCCCTGTCTCCTGACCCGACTCCTCCGTCGCACGTCTGGTCTCACCGTCCCTCCCGTGCTCGTCCTGCCTCGCCTGTCTTGCGCTCCCACCCTATGTTGCTTCGTTCCCACGCGTCTCGTCCTCCCCTTCTGCCATCGCCTCCTCCGTCCTCCCTTGTTGTTGCACCCCCCCCGCTGTCTGACTACCTTCGTGCCGCTCGTCCCCTTGTTCCTCGGGTCCTTGCCTCTCTCGTTACCGACCCGTCTGTTCCGGTCTCGTGCCTTGACGCTCTTGTCGCTGCTATCGCTGACTTCGCCTCTACCCGCCGCCTTGACTACGCCACAGCTTTGGTCTCTGACCCTGCCTGTCCTCCGTCTGTCGGGGGTGCTCTTGCCCTTGGCAGTGACGTCCTGGAGGACCGCCAGTTCGAGCTTGCTTTCCTCTCCGAGGCTGCTCCCCATCTCTGTTCCATGCTGCTAGTCCCTGAGGGTGACCCAGACGCTTTTGACATCCCGACCCCTCGCACTTACGCTGAGGCGGTTTCGGGACCCTGGGCCTCACAGTGGATAGCTGCCATGGAGCAGGAGATGGCATCTTGGAGATCCACCGGCACCTTCGTCGACGCAGTTCCCCCACCTGGGGTGAACGTAGTCGATGGCCGCTGGCTCTTCAAGGTGAAGCGCCCTCCTGGAGAGCCGCCTGTGTTCAAGGCGCGCTATGTGGCTAGAGGCTTCAGTCAGCGCGAGGGGGTGGACTTCTTCCAGACCTTCGCTCCGACCCCGAAGATGACTACTCTTCGGGTTCTGTTACACATAGCTGCTCAGCGTGACTACGAGCTTCACTCCCTCGACTTCTCCACTGCCTTCCTTCAGGGCAGCCTACACGAGCAGGTCTACTTGCGTCGCCCTCAGGGCTTTACTGGCACCTTCCCTCCTGGGACCCAGTGGCTCCTCCGGCGCCCCGTCTACGGCCTGCGCCAGGCTCCTCGTGAGTGGCACGACACTCTCCGTGCTACGCTTGCTGACCTGCAATTCTTTCCGTCTTCCGCAGACCCTTCACTCTTCGTTCGTGCTGGCCAGACTCCGTTCTACATCCTTGTTTACGTCGACGACCTGGTCTTTGCCACAGCAGACAGGGACGCACTGGCCTCCGTGAAGGCAGAGCTGCTGAAGAGACACACGTGCACTGACCTTGGAGAACTGCGCCGCTACCTTGGCTTGCAGATCTCCAGGGACAGAGCATCGCGCACCATCACCCTGACTCAGTCACACTTGGTGCGCCAGGTCCTTCAGAGGTTCAGCCTTCAGTTCTCCTCTGCACAGCCCACCCCTCTGCCTGTAGACCACAGACTCTCCGCTCCAGTGTCTGAGGAGTTGGTAGAGCCCAGCGGCCCCTACGCAGAGCTGGTGGGTTGCCTCATGTACCTGATGACTTGCACTCGCCCAGATCTCGCATACCCTCTCAGCATCCTGGCTCGTTTTGTGGCCACAGGCAGACACCGACCGCAGCACTGGTCTGCCGCTAAGAGGGTTCTGCGTTATCTTGCTAGTACATCGGGCATGGGGTTAGTGCTTGGAGGACGCAGGCCAGTGGTCCTTACTGGACACACAGACGCTTCGTGGGCAGACGACGCCAAGACACTCAGGTCTACCCAGGGCTACTGCTTCAGCCTTGGCTCAGCTGCCGTCTCGTGGAGAGCTACTCGCTCCTCGTCTGTTGCGCAGTCCAGCTGTGAGGCTGAGATCTACGCTGGTGCCATGGCGGCACAGGAGCTCCGCTGGCTGACCTTCTTGCTCACTGACTTAGGTGAGCGGCCTAGCTCTGCCCCGGTCCTGTTCGCTGACAACAGGGCCATGATCCTCCTGTGCCAGGAGCCTCGACTTGAGGGCAGAGCGAAGCACATTCAGCTGCGGTACTTTCTCCTGCGTGAGCTACAGCAGCGACGTCAGGCTCGCGTAGTACACTTGGCCTCAGGTGCCAACACGGCTGATATCTTTACGAAGGCGCTTGCGCCTAAAGATCATCAGCGGCACTGTGTACAGCTTGGTCTAGTTCCTGTAGCCTCTCACTTGCTAGGACCTTGACTTTGTACTGTCCTTTATATGTATACTCAGACTGGACTTGTGTCCTCTCCCAGTGGCTGGACTAGTAGTGCCGCCCTGCTCTTGTTCTTGCCTTGTCTGTACTCCTTCTGACTGGTCTCTCAGACCTTTGTCTCAGAGGTTGGACTAGTAGTGCCGCCCTGAGCTGCTTGTTTAGGACATTCCCCTATGCAGTCTAGGGGGTGTGTCAAACATGTGTAATTGTCATGTTTGTATAGACTGTATAGGGTCATCTCTTAGAGGGTACAAGACTTAGGTATATCTAGGTGTACTCTCACTCTATCAACTAACACTTCTCTGATTTTGATAGTTGTCTGCACTGCATCTGGTTCAGCAAAGGCACTAGAAAACTATTATGGCTTGCAATACAGGGATCACGCTGGGTAGCTCACAAAACGATATTATGTCAGGTTGTGGTGTGTTAACGGTTCTGCTAGCCTTCTAACAAAGGTGCTCCAAGACCGGTTTGCCTCCTTGAATGTCCCGGTTGAGGCGCCAGGCTGTTACTAGAGTGCTCGTTACTGTAGCTACCGTGCAAGTGGGCACCAGGATGGGCCCCACTGGAGTGGCGATGGTGGTGGCTGAACTCAGCCCCTTCACTGCGAGGGCGGAGGGCGAGGTGGAGGAGGAAGAGCAGGTACGGAAGGGCGAGGAGGAGCAGGAGGCAGAGCGTGGTGAGCGAGTGCGGGAGGTTGGTCCGGGAGAAGTCGAGGAGGAGGTAGAGGTTGATGGCGATGACCAGAGCCGCTGACGCCCAGGCTAGCACCTGAGGGGTGGGGGCATGGGGAAAGAGAGCATGCGTTGAAAGGGAGAGGAGGCAGGAGAGAGTGAGGGAGGTTGGCCCTGGAGAAGCCGAGGAGGAGATAGAGGTTGATGGCGATGACCAGAGCCGCTGACGCCCAGGCTAGCACCTGATGGGGAAGGATTAGGGGGGGGGGGTGGGGGTGGGGGGGGGAGGGAAGGAAAGCAAGAGTGTATGTCTCTCGGTCTGAGAGAGTGAAGGAGGAGAGAGAGGTCGATGGCGATGGTACGAGCGGCTGATGCCCGGGCGTGATGCACCTGATGGGGAAGCAAAGTGGGGGATGTGTTGGAAGAGGGCAGGGGGGCAAGGGAGCGAGATTGCTGGTGATGCCCAGAGTGGCAGAGGCCCGGGCGTGATGCACCTGATGGGGAAGCCAAGTGGGGGAAAAGAGGAGAGGAGGGGGATGATGGCGAAGGGCAGCTGCACGGACAGGAAGACACTCACTCACGCCTCACCTCTATGACTTTGCTCACCTTGACCGCCCCCTTGATTGCGTATCGCCCCATGACGTGCGGTGACGTGGCGATAGCAAGAAGGGGGATGATGGCAAAGGGCAGCTGCACGGACTGGAGGACGTTGAGCCACTCGTTGAGGGAATCCAGCGAGGAGATGGTGAGGATGGGGGGGGTGAGAGAGGCATGAGGAGTGAGTGCGGCAGGGAGAGTGGAGGCGGGGGAGGAGTGGGGATAGGAGGAGGAGTGGGGAGTGGAGGAGAAGGGGAGGGAAGCAGAAAGCGATGTGACGAACTGCAGAGATGCATTCCAGGGTGAAATGGAGGACACAAGGGAGTGGTCCGTGATAGGAGAAGGCAGGGCAGCCAAGGGAGAGGAGAAGAGAAGACTAGCTGCTGCTGCTGCTGTTGCAGGCCGGAAGGGAGTTGAAACGTTGACAAACGTGGGAACAGCTGCTGCTGCTGCCGCTGCTGCAGCAGCACTTGTGTCTGCTAGCCTTGTTAGGGGCACAAACAGTGCTGCCGCTGGCGGAGAGGCAGCGGGTGAGCTGTAGAGCAGAGCCACGACGATGGTGGGCACGATGGCAACGGTGCGCGTGACGAGCACACGCACCCACTTGCGCACGTGCAGGTCCAGGAAGCCCGACATCACAAACTGCCCCGCATAGGTTCCTGTCATGGTGGACGACTGGCCGGCGGCCAGTAAGCCCGCCGCCCAGATGAAGACCACTGGGAAGGTGGAGGAGCCAAAGGCTTCCTGGGAAAGCAGGCGCGCAAAGAGGAGAGCAAGAGGAGAAAGAGAGGCACAGGAGAGGGTGAGGGCGTGTGTAACCATGCGGGTGACCAGCACGCGCACCCACCCGCGCACGTGCAGGTCCAGGAAGCCCGGCATCACAAACTGCCCCGCATGGGTTCCTGCCATGGTGGACGACTGGCCCGCTGCTAGCAGACCCGCCGCCCAGGTGAAGACCACTGGGAAGATGGAGCAGCCGAAGGCTGCCTGTGCAGGGGGGAAGAAAGGGCGAAGAGAGCCGAAAGAAAGGTGAAGACGAGGTCAAGGAAAGATCGAGGGGGAGTGTGTGCGGGTGACGAGCACACGCATGTAATGAGTGGACTCGAAAATCGACTCATTACACACGTCGATTTTGCAGGGTGTTTTTGAGAATTCTAAAAAACACGCATGTAATCAGTGGACTCAAAAATCGACTCATTACACACGTCGAGGGGGCATGTGTGTGGGTGACGTGCACACGCACCCATGCCCTGGGCCAGTCCTTGATCCATACTTGCGCACGCACACTGAGACTGCTTTTGAGGCGCCTCAAAAGCATGCCCTGGGCCTGTCCTTGATCGATCCATACTTGCGCACGTGCAGGTACAGGAGGAGAGGGGTGGTGGGCTCAAGGGTGGCAGAGACGAGCGGCTCTGAGACCTGCGCAGGTGGGTATGGGAGTGGACTTCGGAAGACTCATCATAAGCACCTGCTGACCCACCCACTGGTGGTAATCCACCGTTACACCTGGTAACCAGCTACACACACGTACCTGTAGATATTCAGCAGCGTTATCGAGCCCAATGTCTACAGCCCCTGGTCGCCCATAGAACAGCTTTGCAAAGACGGAGACGACACAGAGGTTGACGAGGAAGGAGAGGAGGAGAGCAATGGCGGACTCCAGGGTGAAGTAGACAAGCGCCTCTGACACGCGTGCGGGGGAGTGGCGGTCGATGGCCCGCGACTGCACGAGCGCGGAGTGCAGGAAGATGTTGTGCGGCATGATGACGGCGCCCACTATGCTCACTGCCATCCCCATGGCGCCGCGAGGGATGGATGGAATGAGCAGACCTGGATGGGGAATGGAGTTCGGGGTTTGGGGGATGGGGGGGAGGGGAAGGGGACATGAGAGGAGTGTTGGAGCGAAGAAAGATGTTTGTACGGCATGATGACGTGCCCACGATGCTCACTGCCATGCCCATGGCCCCACGGGGGATGGAGGGCACTAGGAGGCCCGGGTGGTGGTTGATGAACGAAAAGGGGGGAGAGGAGAGGGGGAGTGGCGGTGGATGGCTCATGATTGCACGAGGTGACTTTTGAGTCGACTCAAGGTCAGCTCGTGGTTGTAGGAGTGCAGAGGGCAGGAAGATGTTGTGTGGCATGATGTTGTGTGGCATGATGTTGTGTGGCATGATGCTGTGTGGCATGATGTTGTGTGGCATGATGTTGTGTGGCATGATGTTGTGTGGCATGATGTTGTGAGGCATGATGTTGTGTGGCATGATGTTGTGTGGCATGATGATGTGTGGCATGATGTTGTGTGGCATGATGTTGTGGCATGATGTTGCGTGGCATGATGTTGCGTGGCATGATGTTGCGTGGCATGATGTTGTGTGGCATGATGTTGTGTGGCATGATGTTGTGTGGCATGATGTTGTGTTGTATGATGTTGTGTGGCATGATGTTGTGTTGTATGATGTTGTGTGGCATGATGTTGTGTGGCATGATGTTGCGTGGCATAATGTTGTGTGGCATGATGTTGTGTGGCATGATGTTGCGTGGCATAATGTTGTGTGGCATGATGTTGTGTGGCATGATGTTGTGTGGCATGATGTTGTGTGGCATGATGACGGCACTGGCTATGCCCACTGCCATGCCCATGGCTCCACGGGGGACGAATGGGGGAAAATGGTGAGCTTTTGAGGCGCCTGAAAAAGAGAGGCACGGTGAAAAGGTGAGAGATGGTGTGAGGGACGAATGAGGATGGCATAGGAATGGGGATGCGGATGTGCAGGGTTTGGGGGATGCTAATGTGCATGGGCACGGGTATGGGGATGCGAATGCACATGGGATTGGGTATGGGGATGCGAACGCGCATGGGAACGGGTATGGGGATGCGAATGCGCATGGGAACGGGTATGGGGATGCGAACACGCATGGGAACGGGTATGGGGATGCGAACGCGCATGGGAACGGGTATGGGGATGCCAATGCGCATGGGATTGGGTATGGGGATGCGAATGCGAATGGGATTGGGTATGGGGATGCGAATGCGCATGGGAACGGGTATGGGGATGCGAACGCGCATGGGAACGGGTGTGGGGATGCGAACGCGCATGGGAACGGGTATGGGGATGCCAATGCGCATGGGATTGGGTATGGGGATGCGAATGCGAATGGGATTGGGTATGGGGATGCGAATGCGCATGGGAACGGGTATGGGGATGCGTACGCGCATGGGAACGGGTGTGGGGATGCGAACGCGCATGGGAACGGGTATGGGGATGCCAATGCGCATGGGATTGGGTATGGGGATGCGAATGCGCATGGGATTGGGTATGGGGATGCGAATGCGCATGGGATTGGGTATGGATATGCCCCATGCCATCCCGATCACCCCATGCAACCCCCATCGCCCCATGCAACCCCCATCGCCCCATGCAACCCCGAGTCACTCCCTGCAACCCCCATCGCCCCATGCCACCCCCATCGCCCCATGCCATCCCCATCGCCCCATGCAATCTCCGTCGCCCCATGCAACCCCATCGCCCCATGCAACCCCCGTCGCCCCATGCAACCCCCATCGCCCCATGCAACCCCCATCGCCCCATGCAACCCCCATCGCCCCATGCCACCCCCATCGCCCCATGCAACCCCCATCGCCCCATGCAACCCCCATCGCCCCATGCAACCCCCATTGCCCCATGCAACCCCCATCGCCCTGTGCAACCCCCATCGCCCCATGCAACCCCCATCGCCCCATGCAACCCCCATCGCCCCATGCAACCCCCATCGCCCCATGCAACCCCCATCGCCCCATGCAACCCCCATCGCCCCATGCAACCCCCATCGCTCCATGCAACCCCCATCGCCCCATGCAACCCCCATCGCCCCATGCAACCCCCATCGCCCCATGCAACCCCCATCGCCCCATGCAACCCCCATCGCCCCATGCAACCCCCATCGCCCCATGCAACCCCCATCGCCCCATGCAACCCCCATCGCCCCATGCAACCCCCATCGCCCCATGCAACCCCCATCGCCCCATGCAACCCCCATCGCCCCATGCAACCCCCATCGCCCCATGCAACCCCTATCGCCCCATGCAACCCCCATCGCCCCATGCAACCCCCATCGCCCCTTGCAACCCCCATCGCCCCATGCAACCCCCATCGCCCCATGCAACCCCCATCGCCCCATGCAACCCCCATCGCCCCATGCAACCCCCATCGCCCCATGCAACCCCCATCGCCCCATGCAACCCCTATCGCCCCATGCAACCCCCATCGCCCCATGCAACCCCCATCGCCCCATGCAACCCCCATCGCCCCATGCAACCCCCATCGCCCCATGCAACCCCCATCGCCCCATGCAACCCCCATCGCCTTGTGCAACCCCCATCGCCCCATGCAACCCCCATCGCCCCATGCAACCCCCATCGCCCCGAGCCCCGCCCATTGCCCCGTGCCCCCCCCCACTGCCCCATTCACACCCCGTTGCCCCATGCTGCACCACCCACCCACCATGTGCAATGGCCCCTGCGTCAGGCGGCGCAGGCGAAGAAAGCAAAGGGGCTGCATGGGAAAGCCACATACCTGGTGCCCCATGCCACACTACCCACCCTGTGCAATGGCCCCCGTGTCCGGCGCAGCTTCCAGGAACATGCGGGCGAAGGAGACCGCCATGATGGATATGAAGAGGCCAAAGAGCGCCTCGAGCTTGCGAATGCCTAAGTTCTCGAGAAACAGGAGGAGGAAGCTGGGAGCACAGGTAACAGGGACAGCAGCAAGGATAAGGGGCGGAGAGACATGGGGGGCGGCTCAAGGCATCTAACACATACACTCCACACATTCGACACATGACACTCGAGAGCGCCCACTGTGGCCACCTCCGCCACGAGCCACAGCAGGTGGCTTCAAGCTGGATCCTACTAGGGTATAACCCCTAAGCATTTCCCACCTGTCAAACCCTGTGGTGAGCACGCTGGCTCAGAGGGGCACGGCTCCCTTTGTGAGGATGCGGATGGCGTTGGATGTCGGCGCCATCCGCATCCTCCCCTTGAGATGATATGCATCCGCAGGCTATAAACTCCTGGATGTCGGCACCCACTATGGCCACCTCCGCCATGAACCAGAGCTCGGTAACCGAAGCAGTAACCCAGGCTCTAATCACCCAATCTCCCACCTATCAAGCCCTGTAATGAGCACACCCGCCCAGAGGGGCGCGGCTCCCCTTGAGAGGATGCGGATGGCGATGGCGCAGCGCAGCAAATGACCTCCTGGATGTCGGCGCCCACTATGGCCTAGCCACCTCCGCCATCAGCCAGAGCAGGGGGCTGGAAGGAACCCTACTAGGCTACCACCCTTGCGGCACATCCCACCCACCTGTCCAGGCCAGTGATCAGCACGCCGGCCCACAGCGGCACAGCGCCTTGGGTGAGGATGCGGATGGCGATGGCGCAGCCGATGACCTCCTGGATGTCCGCGCCCACTATGGCCACCTCCGCCATGAGCCACAGCACCGTGCGCACCACGGGGGAGTACTCCATGCGGCACAGCTCCGCCAGGTGGCACCCCGTCACCACGCCCACGCGTGCTGCTATCGCCTGGAGGCAAGGGGCGGGATGGTGGGAGAATGGCATATGCGTGCATCAGTTGTCGTGAACCACATCACGACGCGCACAACAGAGGGGAGCATACTCCCTGGGGCACGGCCCGGCCGGGTGGCACCTGGCCACCACGCTGAAACATGCACTGCTACTGCCCGCAGGTATGGGTGGGAGGGACAAAAGGAAGGGAGTGGAAAAGGGGCCAACGGCGGTGGCGGGCCTAACTTTTGCCGTGCGGACAAAGTCTTCACCAGTGTGCGCTGTAGCCTAGAGATCTGGGGTCCGGGGAAGGAAACATGGTGAGAAAATGATGAAGCACGTGGAAGGAACTGACTGAATGGAACCACGCGTCCACGGGGAATGTCATTCCTCTTGGCGAGCAATCCACGTGGAACTGACTGAATAGAATGGCCCACTGCGAGCCGTTTGAGCACAGGAGTACAGCGCAAGCAGCCAAGAGAGCAACCAGGAGCACAGGAGGGCAGGAGCAACCAGGAGGAGCACGCAAGGGAAAAGATCCCTTGGTGGCATTTCCAGGTCGTACTCAGAATCAAGGGTAGCCCCCGCATTCTCAAGCATTAGCCCGCCCTACCTGCGCTGCAGCAGCAAGCCCAGCGCCATGGCCCACCTCTCCCCCCAATGCGCCACCTCTTTATACATCCCCCTCACCTCTCCCCCCAATGCGCCACCTCTTTATACATCCCCCTCACCTCTCCCCCCTACTGCCGTACCTGCAGCAGCAAGCCCAGCGCCGTGGACCAGAAGAGAATCCACAGCAGCGAATACCCCGTCTGCGCTCCTGCCTGCGGTTCAGATCAGATCACAAGGCACATCATGAACATGTGAACATGCACTGCAAGTTAGTGCTTGTGAACATGCACTGCGAGTTGGTGCTTGAGAACATGCACTGCAAGTTGGTGCTTGTGAACATTGCACTGCAAGTTGGTGCTTGTGAACATTGCACTGCAAGTTAGTGCTTGTGAACATTGCACTGCAAGTTGGTGCTTGTGAACATTGCACTGCAAGTTAGTGCTTGTGAACATTGCACTGCAAGTTGGTGCTTGTGAACATTGCACTGCAAGTTGGTGCTTGTGAACATTGCACTGCAAGTTAGTGCTTGTGAACATTGCACTGCAAGTTGGTGCTTGTGAACATTGCACTGCAAGTTAGTGCTTGTGAACATTGCACTGCAAGTTAGTGCTTGTGAACATTGCACTGCAAGTTAGTGCTTGTGAACATTGCACTGCAAGTTGGTGCTTGTGAACATTGCACTGCAAGTTGGTGCTTGTGAACATTGCACTGCAAGTTGGTGCTTGTGAACATTGCACTGCAAGTTAGTGCTTGTGAACATTGCACTGCAAGTTGGTGCTTGTGAACATTGCACTGCAAGTTAGTGCTTGTGAACATTGCACTGCAAGTTAGTGCTTGTGAACATTGCACTGCAAGTTGGTTGCTTGTGAACATTGCACTGCAAGTTAGTGCTTGGGGGGGGGTGAACATTGCACTGCAAGTTGGTGCTTGTGAACATTGCACTGCAAGTTAGTGCTTGTGAACATTGCACTGCAAGTTAGTGCTTGTGAACATTGCACTGCAAGTTAGTGCTTGTGAACATTGCACTGCAAGTTGGTGCTTGTGAACATTGCACTGCAAGTTAGTGCTTGTGAACATTGCACTGCAAGTTGGTGCTTGTGAACATTGCACTGCAAGTTGGGTGCCTTGTGAACATTGCACCTGCAAGTTAGTGCTTGTGAACATTGCACTGCAAGTTAGTGCTTGTGAACATTGCACTGCAAGTTGGTGCTTGTGAACATTGCACTGCAAGTTAGTGCTTGTGAACATTGCACTGCAAGTTGGTGCTTGTGAACATTGCACTGCACGTTAGTGCTTGTAAACATTGCACTGCAAGTTAGTGCTTGTGAACATTGCACTGCAAGTTAGTGCTTGTGAACATTGCACTGCAAGTTGGTGCTTGTGAACATTGCACTGCAAGTTAGTGCTTGTGAACATTGCACTGCAAGTTGGTGCTTGTGAACATTGCACTGCAAGTTAGTGCTTGTGAACATTGCACTGCAAGTTGGTGCTTGTGAACATTGCACTGCAAGTTAGTGCTTGTGAACATTGCACTGCAAGTTAGTGCTTGTGAACATTGCACTGCAAGTTGGTGCTTGTGAACATTGCACTGCAAGTTAGTGCTTGTGAACATTGCACTGCAAGTTGGTGCTTGTGAACATTGCACTGCAAGTTAGTGCTTGTGAACATTGCACTGCAAGTTGGTGCTTGTGAACATTGCACTGCAAGTTAGTGCTTGTGAACATTGCACTGCAAGTTGGTGCTTGTGAACATTGCACTGCAAGTTAGTGCTTGTGAACATTGCACTGCAAGTTAGTGCTTGTGAACATTGCACTGCAAGTTGGTGCTTGTGAAACATTGCACTGCAAGTTAGTGCTTGTGAACATTGCACTGCAAGTTGGTGCTTGTGAACATTGCACTGCAAGTTAGTGCTTGTGAACATTGCACTGCAAGTTAGTGCTTGTGAACATTGCACTGCAAGTTGGTGCTTGTGAACATTGCACTGCAAGTTAGTGCTTGTGAACATTGCACTGCAAGTTGGTGCTTGTGAACATTGCACTGCAAGTTAGTGCTTGTGAACATTGCACTGCAAGTTAGTGCTTGTGAACATTGCACTGCAAGTTGGTGCTTGTGAACATTGCACTGCAAGTTAGTGCTTGTGAACATTGCACTGGCAAGTTAGTGCTTGTGAACATTGCACTGCAAGTTGGTGCTTGTGAACATTGCACTGCAAGTTAGTGCTTGTGAACATTGCACTGCAAGTTGGTGCTTGTGAACATTGCACTGCAAGTTAGTGCTTGTGAACATTGCACTGCAAAGTTAGTGCTTGTGAACATTGCACTGCAAGTTAGTGCTTGTGAACATTGCACTGCAAGTTAGTGCTTGTGAACATTGCACTGCAAGTTGGTGCTTGTGAACATTGCACTGCAAGTTAGTGCTTGTGAACATTGCACTGCAAGTTAGTGCTTGTGAACATTGCACTGCAAGTTGGTGCTTGTGAACATTGCACTGCAAGTTAGTGCTTGTGAACATTGCACTGCAAGTTGGTGCTTGTGAACATTGCACTGCACGTTAGTGCTTGTGAACATTGCACTGCAAGTTAGTGCTTGTGAACATTGCACTGCAAGTTAGTGCTTGTGAACATTGCACTGCAAGTTGGTGCTTGTGAACATTGCACTGCAAGTTAGTGCTTGTGAACATTGCACTGCAAGTTGGTGCTTGTGAACATTGCACTGCAAGTTAGTGCTTGTGAACATTGCACTGCAAGTTGGTGCTTGTGAACATTGCACTGCAAGTTAGTGCTTGTGAACATTGCACTGCAAGTTGGTGCTTGTGAACCATTGCACTGCAAGTTGGTGCTTGTGAACATTGCACTGCAAGTTAAGTGCTTGTGAACATTGCACTGCAAGTTGGTGCTTGTGAACATTGCACTGCAAGTTAGTGCTTGTGAACATTGCACTGCAAGTTAGTGCTTGTGAACATTGCACTGCAAGTTGGTGCTTGTGAACATTGCACTGCAAGTTAGTGCTTGTGAACATTGCACTGCAAGTTGGTGCTTGTGAACATTGCACTGCAAGTTAGTGCTTGTGAACATTGCACTGCAAGTTAGTGCTTGTGAACATTGCACTGCAAGTTGGTGCTTGTGAACATTGCACTGCAAGTTAGTGCTTGTGAACATTGCACTGGCAAGTTAGTGCTTGTGAACATTGCACTGCAAGTTAGTGCTTGTGAACATTGCACTGGCAAGTTAGTGCTTGTGAACATTGCACTGCAAAGTTAGTGCTTTGTGAACATTGCACTGCAAGTTAGTGCTTGTGAACATTGCACTGCAAGTTAGTGCTTGTGAACATTGCACTGCAAGTTAGTGCTTGTGAACATTGCACTGCAAGTTAGGTGCTTGTGAACATTGCACTGCAAGTTGTGCTTGTGACATTGCACTGCAAGTTAGATGCTGTGTGGAACATTGCACTGCAAGTTAGTGCTTGTGAACATTGCACTGCAAGTTGGTGCTTGTGAACATTGCACTGCAAGTAGTGCTGTGAACATTGCACTGCAAGTTAGTGCTTTGTGAACATTGCACTGCAAGTTAGTGCTTGTGAACATTGCACTGCAAGTTGGTGCTTGTGAACATTGCCACTGCAAGTTAGTGCTTGTGAACATTGCACTGCAAGTTTCAGTGCTTGTGAACATTGCAACTGCAAGTTAGTGCTTGTTGAACATTGCACTGCAAGTTGGGTCGCTTGTGAACATTGCACTGCAAGTTAGTGGCTTGTGAACATTGCACTGCAAGTTGGTGCTTGTGAACATTTGCACTGCACGTTAGTGCTTGTGAACCATTGCACTGCAAGTTTAGTGCTTGTGAACATTGCACTGCAAGTTAGTGCTTGTGAACATTGCACTGCAAGTTGGTGCTTGTGAACATTGCACTGCACGTTAGTGGCTTGTGAACATTGCACTGCAAGTTGGTGCTGTGAAAGCACTGCAAGGGGCTGGCAGGAGTTAGTGCTTGTGAACATTGCACTGCAAGTTAGTGCTTGTGAACATTGCACTGCAAGTTAGTGCTTGTGAACATTGCACTGCAAGTTGGTGCTTGTGAACATTGCACTGCAAGTTAGTGCTTGTGAACATTGCACTGCAAGTTAGGTGCTTGTGAACATTGGCACTGCAAGTTGGTGCTTGTGAACATTGGCACTGCAAGTTAGTGCTTGTGAACATTGCACTGCAAGTTGGTGCTTGTGAACATTGCACTGCAAAGTTAGTGCTTGTGAACATTGCACTGCAAGTTGGTGCTTGTGAACATTGCACTGCAAGTTAGTGCTTGTGAACATTGCACTGCCAAGTTTTGCTTTGTTGCATTTCACTGCAGTTGGTGCTTGTGAACATTGCACTGCAAGTTAGTGCTTGTGACATTGCACTGCAATTAGTGTTGTGAACATTGCACTGCAAGTTAGTGCTTGTGAACATTGCACTGCAAGTTAGTGCTTGTGAACATTGCACCTGCAAGTTGGTGCTTGTGAACATTGCCACCTGCAAGTTAGTGCTTGTGAACATTGCACTGCAAGTTGGTGCTTGTGAACATTGCACTGCAAGTTGGTGCTTGTGAACATTGCACTGCAAGTTGGTGCTTGTGAACATTGCACTGGCAAGTTAGTGCTTGTGAACATTGCACTGCAAGTTAGTGCTTGTGAACATTGGCACTGCAAGTTAGTGCTTGTGAACATTGCACTGCAAGTTGGTGCTTGTGAACATTGCACTGCAAGTTAGTGCTTGTGAACATTGCACTGCAAGTTAGTGCTTGTGAACATTGCACTGCAAGTTAGTGCTTGTGAACATTGCACTGCAAGTTAGTGCTTGTGAACATTGCACTGCAAGTTGGTGCTTGTGAACATTGCACTGCAAGTTAGTGCTTGTGAACATTGCACTGCAAGTTAGTGCTTGTGAACATTGCACTGCAAGTTAGTGCTTGTGAACATTGCACTGCAAGTTGTGCTTGTGAACATTGCACTGCAAGTTAGTGCTTGTGAACATTGCACTGCAAGTTAGTGCTTGTGAACATTGCACTGCAAGTTAGTGCTTGTGAACATTGCACTGCAAGTTAGTGCTTGTGAACATTGCACTGCAAGTTGGTGCTTGTGAACATTGCACTGCAAGTTAGTGCTTGTGAACATTGCACTGCAAGTTAGTGCTTGTGAACATTGCACTGCAAGTTAGTGCTTGTGAACATTGCACTGCA